ATTCCATCACTAGCCACAATTCTCTTCAATGCTTCATTGTATTTAGACCATTTTTTTTTAAAGAACAACAATACATATTCTTTTGTGTCCTTTGCTATTTGTTAGGTTGGAGGTTAGAATGAAACAAGAAGATATTGAATGCTGAAAGATGTAAATCAGATTGAGCAGATTGGCCTACTTAATGGTTCAGTTATAGCGGCTGCATGTGCAAGAGGAAGTAGTGATGGCAAAATGTGAGTATATTTGTATGTTTCATGCTCAAACAGCGGAGCATTTCTGAGTTTCACACAATAGAAGCTGAGGAGCAACATGGGCCAAGGCTTGCTTCACGCCATAGGGAGCAGCCATAAATCTAGATTTTTGTGTAAAATTTTGAAAAGCATTGTGAAGTTAAAGCAAATGAAGTCTGTGGACTGTTAGCTTGCGGCTCTGAAAATGATAAGTGAAGAAGCCATCTGCCTGTCCTAAGTGCCAAAGACCTGTTAGAATTTGCCTGAGTATCTTAAAGAGGTCCACACGAAGTGCCCTTGTACTCAGGGATGCCCTGGGACCCCCTGACTCTTGGAGATACTTGTTTATTTGTCTTAGAGGTATTGACAAGTGTACTATGTGACACCAAACAACAGCTATCCATGGTCTTACTGGATAGTAACACGGATTTCCACCTCAGATGGAGCTAATCTATAAAGACACACAGGCGCTGTGCATGCAGGAAAGTCAGCCAGGGTAGACTCAGTGCCTCCAGGAGGCGGCAGGTGGTAGGGGAAATGGGACAAGCGCACCAGTTGGGAGGTGGGCCACCTAGATGGGGGACTCTCCGGGCCAGGCAGCAGACTGAGACTATGTGGACTTCAGGCCAAAAGAAAATACCCTAATTCTGATATAAAATTATAAATGCTTTAAATACAGTGTGGGCCGAAAGAGTCCATCCCTGTACTAAACTGGCTTATGGCTGGCCATTTGGTGACCCCTCCTCCAGCACCTGAGAAATGCCAAGGGAGAACCCAACCATGGAGAGCCAGTGGTGGCCAGAGCAGCGAAACACAAAGTGAAGCGGTCTCCTCGCATACACCATCCTCCATGCCCACAGGATACCCGCTTTGCCTCCTTTGCTGTCCTCACCCTTTATCTCCTAGAAAACTTCTGCTTAACATTAAAACTCAATTTTATACCACTGTCTGAAAGGCCAACCTTGTGCCTTAAAGTCCCGAACACACCATACTACAAATCACTGCTTTCGTGCTTATAACATTACATCTCAATTTTCTCTTTATGAGACAGTCTGTCTCACCAGGGCAGGGAATGTGTCTCAGTTTTGTCTGCATTCCTGGTACTTACCATCATCCCTGGGTTTGAGTAACGGCTCAAAAATGCTTACTAAAGAAAAGCAAGACTTTTTAAGATAAAAGAGTTTCTTAAAGTGTACAAAATCCTTTCAGGGCCTGATCTTGAATATTTTGATCTGGGAAGTAGAGAGTGTACCCTCGAGTGTTGCTTTAAACAAGTTCTCTTGGTGAATCTTATATGCAATGCAGTTTAGAGACCTCTGAGCTAAGCTGTAGGCCTCACAAGGAAAGAAGCTACAGGGAATGAGCCCTTCCTTACATTCAAGTCATCGTGCCTTTCATTCCTATCATCTAGCAGAGTGCTTAGTGTATATTTAGCAGGTATTTGCTGAATGAATGAATGATGAATGAATGAATGAATGAATGAATGAATAAACAAATGGGCAAATGAATGAAAGCAAGGTCTGAAGTGTCACAATTCTGCTCAGACTTTTCATTGGAACCATAATTGGCATGCCATTCATTGCTTTCTTTGAACTTACCATGAGGACACCAAGATAGACTTGATATCTGGAGAATAAATGCCATGACCATTCTTACCCACCCCTATCTTTGTGAACAGTGTGCAGAGGAGATCCAAAGGCATTTGGGTTGTAGGTTCAACAACTTTACCCCTTAATGATGGCAGACAAAGAAAGCAAGAAGGCTTGAACTCAATGAAGATAGCAAACTGTCACCATGGCTAGTGACGTTAGTGATGCTCGTCTTCTGCCTTTCCTGCATCCCTACCCTGCAATCCTGGCCCTTCTTTTCAAATCCTTGCTTGTTAAACATCTAGTAGGAGCAACTCCTATTATCCTTCATCTCTCTTCCCTTCTCCACCCCCTGGTGGAGGGACAACGAATAGCAAAATACACAGGGAAAAATCAAATGACAGCAACAATTATGAAAATAACACAAACATTTGGCTTTTTTCTGGAGACTTGTACGTTACTTTAAGGCATTTGGTAATTTGTGTTTTAAAAAGTACACCAAATTGCACTTGAAACTGAAATTTTTCTTGGTTTTCCATATGTGATTAATTAACCTATTCTGTTCCAAACCTACTATAGTTCTCTTGCTGTTCTTAATTTGAATCAGAAGAGGGGGATAGTTTAGTTAACAAAGGCTCCTTAAAGCAGGCCAGGAATTATACCTCCACTGTTTCAGCACAAATTTCCCAATACTCCCTCTGACTTTAAAACCTAACAAAAGAGACTAAAAGTTTAAGCATGAAATACCATGATTGCTTCTTGTGTTCTCTACTGGAATGCATACTACTTGAGAGCCAGAGCATTATACGATCTGTACATTTCCAAAGTTCATCTCAATTCACAGCTTTGAAGAAACAGTTAAAGAATAGCCCAGTTGAACAAGGCAGCTTTGAAGAGCTGAGCACGAGTGTATGGTAGGCATCACACTGAAGAAGCCACAGCCATCTATTCCAGGCCCACTGTTCGTGGCATCGTGGCAGATAACATTAGCTGTACCGTATTTCTACTTCCAGAGTGAATATCTAATGACTCTATTAGAGATCGTGCCTTAGATTGTTAAGATAACGTTATGAAAAAACACCTTTTGTCTTAGAATATTTCCTTCTATTTTTGCCTTTTACTATCTTTTCCTGCCAATCAACGTCTTGACACCAGGAAAGCAGTTAACATCTCTTTCCATCAGGCTCTGCAATAGACAGGTCTTAGGGAATACACATGCCAGCCCTTTGTTCTTCTTGACTTCCCGAGAAAGTAAACCTTCAACCGAACCTCTTTGAGAGTACGACAAAGGATATGGCAATTCTGTCCATTAAATATATTAATACTTGTATGTATGCACAAAAGATCATTCATAATATTAGGTGGTTTAGGGCCACACTGGAGCTCATAACCAAATCCCTCACAGACTCTGGTCCATACAAAAAGTGATGGAGGGTTATCTGATAGTTAAGTACCTACTCTGTATTATTCTGGATTTCTGGGAAGATGGTTAATGTAAACTACGTTCAATGGTTAAAAATAAGCATTTGGTAAGAATAGTGAGCAACTCTGTAGGCAAGATTTTCAGTCGTAGCATTACCAAAATTTAGCATTGCTGTTTTGTTTAGCAATAACCTGCTCCTGCGCAAAATCAAAAATATAGTTTAAAAGGCTATCGATGTTTCCTCTTAGCTGCAGCATCAGTCCACTGTCTTACAAGACCCTGAACATTCCTTTTCAGTTCTTGGATCATTTCACAATATTACTGAATGACAATAAGAATCAGTGTATTTATCATGGTGCAGTGGAATATGACCACGATTTGTTTCCCAAGTGACCTCGGAAGTTACATAACCTGTTGCTGCCTAGACTTCCTTAAGTCTAAAGTGGGGATGACACAGAGTTTTCTGTAAGCTTTCTATCAGGATTAAATACGCTAACACACGAAAGAAGCAATTAGTGCGTTGCATGGGCTGTGGCCAAAGCTTAATAAATGGCAACGAATGCTGCTGTAAATGTCTATAAAATATTTATCATAGTTCTCACTGCATAGAGAGTCCTGAATAAATGGGATCTGGAATAACTGTGATTCTTACATTCATGTCATCATTATTTTATGGGCAGTCCTAGGAATAAGGAGCCTTCTGCATTTTTGTTCTGAGACTTCAAAAAGCCTATTCAGTTCAAATCATTGATCCCTCAGTGTGAGAATGTGAGAAAGAGATGAAAGACAAGGGCCACACTTTCAGCCATCCACAGCCCAGCCAGAGTCGCCACAACACCAGTTCAAGCCAGTGGTGCCAATTCAAAGCCAAAGGTAAAATTCACTCAAAGTTTGATTCCCAAAATGCTCTTGCACCCTCTGCTTACCCTTTCCTGCCATGAATTCCCAGAAGGCAAAGTCTCTACTGATTAAATTGCATGCTTTCACCTGACATAAAATGACAGTCACTCAACCAACAAAATGAATTTCCTTCTAAGTCCTAATTGCCAGAAAAACTCAGAATGGAATTTGTTGCCCACATTTTACAACCCATTCCACTCTGATAGCACCCACAGAGCAGTTCTTCTCGAAGTCATCCCTGTTCTGTTTTATGCTCAATGACTGTCATACAAGCTGTGTAAAATTTACAGAGATTTTTGTGTCTACAAACCATGCCTTAGTGAATCAACCATTTCAAATCATTGTGGAAACAATGAGAGCACCACATTTTAATAAGTAGCGTTTACTTCTCCGAACAGGAAAACAGATATCCTTCGCCTCATGTACTTTTTCCGATCAGGGATATTTTTCTCCCTTTCGTTTTTAGACAGAAATGGCTTGAGAGTTCCAAGCACATCCTGCTAAAGTCAGAGCCTTTAATTCTGTCTCTCTCACCAGTTTCCTATGTGTGAAGATTGCTCAGCCAAACCAGAAGACCCCAGAGAGGAAAGAGCGAGGCAGCTCACCCGAGGACCCATCAGCCTGGCATTTCCAGTGAGCTGACAGTGAAAAAGCAAACCCATTCCATGAAGCATAGCAGGATCTAAATACCAACTGCTGGAATCTCTCAGAAGGCCCTAGAAATGTTCCTTGGAGGGATTTCTCTTATGAAGACAAATGACAACTCAAGTCATTTTTGCACCACCACCACCTACCCACAGGCCCTCCTTTCATTGGTCTAGGGAAAAAGAAATCTCAGAAATAGAAGCAATTACTTACATCTATAGGTCATCTCAAAGCTGTCACTGATGTTCACAATATCAATCTGGGGGAGCAGCTTTGGGGGCTCTGTGAGTTGCGACAAAGCAAATCTAAAGGCGGCATGTTCCTGTGACTGTTGGTTTGGAAATAGTCCCCCTGTGAGAAAAGAAAATGCAACATGGTATCTGGGCTAGAGACAGGGTTTAGCCCCCCAGTGACCCACTACAGACAGCCCTTTTCTTCTCCCATGCCAAAGTCACGAGTTGTAGCCTTTTGTGGGAGGTATGAGTTCTGACAGACTCAGCATAACTTCCGCAGATGAGCTCCTATGTGCCAGAGCCCCTAACACCTGTTACCCTAGTCAGACATATAGTGGTACACTGTTCATTCGCCTAAGAGGGGTGGGGGTTTCTCTTCCCCATCCTTTGGGCAAATCACCTGGGAGACCCAGGCTTTTTCTGCATCCAGAAAGCTTCCTTGTGTCTAACTTGTCTCAGATGAATCCCACCTCCCACAGAGCCTTGCAGGATACAGATGCTAGTAAGTATTACAACATGGTTAAAATGTAGGTCTGGGACACTGTGGACTTTTCTAGTATTAGAACTATTTGATTTTGACACTTTTGGACTTTAGTAAGACCTGTATGCCATTTAAGCATCTTGTTGCCTCCAAAGCTGAGTATTTATTTTCCCTGAAAATTCTTAATTTTCTGTGAGTAACAATTTAGTGTTTTGCTTCTTTCATCATTCATGTTCCCAGCTACCTAGGAATGACTTGTTACATAAGGGATTGCCACTGTGTGCTTGTGTGGCAGAATCTTGTGCATCAGGGATGCGGGGGTCTCAAGAATGCCAAGCAGTTCAAATGTTCTGTTCCCACAGAGACCCCAGGCAAGCCACGTGTTGGCGCTCCTGTTGCAAGGAGTAAGGGCACAGGGCATCCCTGTGTATTTACGTGGGCATATAAGCAAATTAATATAAACTGTGAATTAAAACCGGTGATATCTAGAGACTGGACTGCACGAATATTTACTGAGAAGTTTATCTCAGATCTAACAGGAATCTGTTAGAATGCAAAGCACTTCTGACTTCTGATACAGTGGATGCATGTTGATTTTTAAGAAAACAATGCCACCAACAAGAAAATGGATTACAAAGCTTTGTCGGAGAACTCACTAGTAGAATCAAGTATACCTTAATGGCGGTGATACTTTCAGCATTTGGTTTGCAATTTAAGAGGTTTTGCCTCTTGTTTGAAAATAGCAGCAATAATTTTATCAGTTGAACAATTACACGGAGACTAAATATGCTGAAGCATCTGCATGAGGACCACGCAGGGAATATAGCACACATGTACTTCTCTATTCATTTATACGCACGATGGTATCTATACGCAAATCCACCCAAGGAAAGCAAGCCTGTGCATCTCTAGGCAAGCAGTTACCATTAGCTAAGTGTAGGCAATACGTAAGCACTACCATAAACAGTTCCCTGCAAAAGAGCAGGTGATTTTCACGTGTCCAGATATGCTCATTTTAAAGAGTAACAACAACCACAGAAAAATCATTCTTGAATTTGATGCTCCACCCTCCCTCCAGGATGACCACACCCCAAACGCTCCTCATCCTCTTCTCCATCTCGGCAGTGAATGAAAGGAGGGGGCAGGAGGAGGGGGGAGGGGGAGGGGGAGGGGAGGGGAAGGAAGAGGGGGAGGGGGGAGGGGGGAAAGGAAAGACTACAGGCTAGGCTGCAATGGAATTATCTCCTGAAGGCAGGAAGTTTCTCCATGTGAGGCACGAGCACACATACACACACGTTTCAGGATGTACCCTAACAGGTGTCAGGAAACAGCAAGTTACTCCACAGCCACACCAACCACCTTGGGAACCAGCTAGTTGGAGAGGCCGAAAGAAACTCCACTGCAGTGTATCTGACAAAACACGAGCTCACCATGAGCCTCCAGCTAACACAAGCTCACACAAAGAACACAAACTCCCAGCAGTGAGAACTTTCTCTGTTTCCTTAGGAGGAGGGGAAAAGAAACTGAGCCAGCCACGATGCTTCCAGGCACAGCAGCCTGCTCGGTTCTGGGACACAAACGGTCACCAATGCTGGTCACACAGAAGCCACAGCCCTGTGGACCTGCCTTTTTATTGGTGTGATTGTTCTTTGTTGTGCTTTCCCCCAGGATTGTGAGGATGGGAGGTATCTGTCAGCTCCCTCACACACACACAGGGAGGAGAGAGAGCCGTTTAGAGCACACATCCAAGACAGGGAGATGGGGAACACAATCGCATGCCGCGTGGTATGTGCTGCCTCGAAGTTGAGGGGAGGGAGCCAGGCTTGGGAGCACAGGTGTGGGGGCCCAGTGTGCGCGTGTCTGGATGGATGTAAAGGGGAGGCGGCGAACACAGGCAGGATCGAAGAGAAGGGGGCGCGAGGAGTGCACAACAGGCAGGCCAGGAAGTTCCAGGACTGGGGAGTGAGGAGCACTTGCCCAGCGTGGCAGACTGCAAAGAGGAGGCAGTTGGGGGTGGGGATCACAGGGCAGGAGAGAAAGAGCCCCTCTCCGGGGGTGGGGGCCCCTTCCATTATTTCAACAGCTGCCATAAGCCCAGCACTCTCTCCTCCTGTGGGAGGGTCTCCTTTACCTCCCCAGCAGAGACCCACTGTGCTCAGTGCCTGAATGCATCTGTGAACCTCTCATGCATCGCCACACGGAAATACACCCACTGTACACATTTATACACACAAACGAAATCAGACAGCATCCACCAAGCAACGGGGTTAACTCCTTAGGCACCCGCAAGCCTGTTCCAAGCCACAGCCTGATCCCCCCAACCTCAAGCAGTGGTGCCTCCATTTCCCATGCTCTTCTTGGAGTGTGAGCTGCGTGTGTTCACCTGTATGTGTGCGTGTGTACACCCCACCCCGTCGGGCAGCTGAAGCCCCCTCCCCTCGCTGCCTGCCCGAGTCTTCCCCCCTCCCGCTGCACAGCTTTAGATAGCCACACACAACAGCTGTGCTGAGGAGGGGGTGACAGTCCCCGTCCAAAAAAAAAAAAAAATCCCTTCCAGCTTCCGAAAGTCCCCGGGCCCAGGCTGCTCCTGCCACTCACCGATCTGGATATTGTTCGGGAAATTGGCACCTACTACCGCGCCTAGGAAACCGGTGCAGAAGAAGGCAAAGATGTGCTGCATATTCCTTTTTGCATTGGCGAAAAAGAAGCCCAGGTCCAATCATAGATTTGGTGTTGCCCCCCTTCCTTTCTTCCTCTCGCTGCTCTGCCTCTTCTCTTCCTCCAGTGGTTCCTTCCTTCGCTCTTTCCTCTGCTTTCCTTCTGGGAGGTTTGCTCCCTTGGAATCCGAGAGCGCTTAAACTGCAGCGTTAACACCAACTGACAGCCGGATGAACTGAGTGCGGACGGACGGAGGAGCCGTCCTCATGCTAGCTGGAGCGCTCCCCCTCGCCTCCTGCCTCTCCTCTCCTCTCCTCTCCTCTCCTGCACTGCCTGCCTCTCTCCCTCCCGCTCTCTCCTCTCCCCCTCACACTCACACAGGCAGGCGCTCTGCGCTGATACCCACGAGCCAGCTCAGAGTTCCACAGCCGACCTCCCCTGCCTGTCACCCTGCCGCCCCATCCTCACCTCATCCTCCTTTCCGAGTGTGCGGAGGAGGGAGGGGAGGCGGGTGGGGGTGCCGCGGTGCCTGTGCCCCCTTCACCCTCCACTTCCAGGCTCGCTCTATGCCCGCTCTCCCCCAGCCCCCAGCCTGCCGGATGTTCCTGGGAATGTGGGTTCAGCTCTAAGTCAGTAGGTGGCAGGGGGTCCCCACAAGAGACCTGGATGCGCCAGCTGCTTGATCTAGGTCACTTTTTCTAGGAGTGCCCTGCCAGGCTGTGCGGGATGTAGCTCATGCACTCCACTGGCCCAGTTATTCCTGCAACTAATTCCTGAGGGGAAGACCCTAGAAATCCCTCTAAAACAATTCCCAGGAAAGAAGAGCTTTGCCCCCCTCACAGGAGGAGTGGGAAGAACAAACAACAGGAGGCTGGAGAATGACTAGCTTTGGTTTTGGCTTGGCTGTGTGGCGTCCTGTCTGCCTTTGGAAGTGTCATCAGTGGTCTCTCTCACACTGTAGCCCCTTACAGCAGGACCCCTTCTCCCTTTCCCTGCGTCCCACAGGAGCTATGGCACCAGGACTGCGTGGGAGTACAACAAAGGCAAAGGATACTCACATAGAGCAATTACATGAGTCATTTTGCAGGGATTCTAGTGAGGAGACTCAGGCTTCTTGTGGTTAGCTCCAGGTGTTGGTCAGGACCAGAGTAAGCAGGAACTTCACAGAGCACTCAGGACCAGGACATCCACAGAAGCAACCTGTAGAGAGAACCACTGCTCGGAAACAAAAGCGAGTTCTGATGCAGCAGCCAGGAGCAGCCAGAGCACTTGATGGTTCAGGAAGCGACTTCCAAGTGCTAGCCACTTGTGCTATGCCCACCCTTGGGAAGCGACTAGTGTACAGGTGAAAAACCTGAGGCGCCAGAGGTTACATCTTCATGAAGACAGGCATCTAAGAAGCACAGTCCAGTGTACAAACATGGTTGTTCTGGTCCTCGCCAGCTGGCCTGCTGTACTGGGCAGAACTCCCACCTAACAGAATAATCCAGCAAGGGAAAGGGATACCTTTTCCTCAGTAACTGAGCAGACAGACTTTAGACCTGATTATTTCTTTATCACTAAAACGGACCATATTATGGAGGCCTTGCTTAGTTCCTCCACTCCAACCGGACAATTACACCCACTCATGACAGCTAGGAGGGCTGGGATTTGCAAGAAATAGGAGCCTGTGTTCAAGTAAGCCTTAACACCAGGACAACTTGCAGCTCAGATACCTTATGATTTCCTACGACAATTTCCACATTAATTAGCTAGAGTGATGTGTAAAGTCACTGTGTACTCACCCCATATCCTGTGCCAGAGCCTGTGCAAAGCACTGAGTGTGCATCGTGTTTGTTTGTTCAACAGTCCCTGTGGGCGCTAAACTCATTCCCATTCTATTGCTAAAGAAATTGAAGCCTCATGATTTATCCCATTTTCTGCTGCTGGTAAGGAAGAGATTGAAAGTGTAAATCCAGGAAACTCTACCCTGAGACTTAAACTATCAACCTCCAGGCTCTAGCAGCAGCTGACACCCAGAAGGAGAAGGGCAGAAGTGGGAGACTAAGTTTGGGAAACTGGGCAACAGAGTCTGGAAAGATTGCTTGTCAGTTTGAAAAGGCTGGTATTCAATGATTCCATTTTATACTTTCTCCATTTGCTTTTTCCCCTCTTACTATTTTGAATAGTACCTAGGGATCATTTAAATTCCCCGAGCTTTGTGCCTGGTAATAATAATAATTAGCTGTCACTAAAGGCTTCACACTTTCCTGTCACCTTTCAGAGGAAGATCTCAAAGCCATTTACAAGGATTAATTAGCAAAGCCTCAACACCCACCTGAGATGAGGAAGAATTGTTTTGCTTTCTGGAAGAGGCAGGGGTTTGAGAAGGTAAAAAGATGCACTTGCTGTGATCATTTTAAATCATACCATCATACTGTCAGATCTTCTAAATATAGTTCTATGTCTCCGCATGCTCAAGTGTGATCAATCAAGCTCTTTGGCCTATTAAGTACAAAATTGTCCAAAGATTAAATAAACATGGAATTTACGCATTTCAAGCTTGGGTGTGTAGGTCAAATGACATTTCAGTTCAAGCATTCCTTTTTGTTCAAAATTCTCTTTCGTTCAAATGATGGTGGGGAACCCATTCTGTATCAGTCTGGGAATCAGGGGAAGGGGAAGAAATCTTCCCCAGCCTGTTAGGGAAGAAGACTTACGAGCCAGCCACTGACGGACCAGGACCAGTGCAGAATAGAGTTGCAAGCACAGCAGTGGGAAGAGGAAAAGGAGACCACCGTTGGTCTGCCCAGAGCAGCTTCCCAAGAGCTGGACCATGAGGGATGAAGCAATGACAGGCGGAAACTAAGTGCGGGGCTGGGAAAAGACATGCAAAGGGAAAAGATCAGCACAGGCTGGAGGCAAGAGGGGACGCCATGCGCTCTGTGTATCCACAGACCATGGTGTGAGATGGCAGATATGGCAGAATGTGAAACCCAGGAGATCATAGGGCTAGGGCTTGCAAGACTCTTCATTCCTGCTGGACAGGGGAGATCAGGGGCAGCATGTTTAGTACTTCAGTGACAGTCCAAAAGGTATGCATGAGAAAGAAAGCAGTGAGTGCTGGTAAAAGGTGGTTTCTTTAGCCTTAAAGGTTAACACTATATCCTGTCCAGATTCACTTCTCTGGACAACCTATTCCATTACCTCCCCTCACAGCCTCCAGTCCTATTTGCTGTGCCCAACTTCAGTCTTGGAACGGTTGACTTTTGATAGTGTCTTGCGATTGATGATGGCCAAACCCAACAGATGTGCGACACACTGATTTACACAGCATCTGGGCACCCCTCATCTCATCTCATCCCCTGTCCAACCTTAAGATGACAGAATTGGAGCTCCCTGTACAGATTTGGTAAGGCTCAGTCTGGCCAGCTAGATGGTTTGTGTGAGATGGTGTTTCTCAGTGGCAGTAATTCCTCCCCTGGTAGATTCTGCGCAGTGTGTGGTGGAGATATTTTTTGCTTTTATCTGGGGCGGTGCCCCTGGCATCTTGTGTGCAGAGTCCAGGCATGACTCTAAACCTTGCAGAACGCACAGGGCTGGCACTCTAGCTTTCACAGCAAAGCATTTTCTAGTTCGAAACTTCAATGCGGTTGAAGCTGAAAAACTTTTTATCAGGGTACATGGCAACCAGCACACCAGGACCCCCTGTTGCAAGTTCCGATTTTCTATTCCATGATAAGACATAGAAGAAAGACTCAGTCTTTTTTATTTTGTGGCTTTTCATATTATAAAATAGGATCCCTCAAGATGGGTGCTCTGTAAAGTCTAGGGGGGATGAGCACTGGATGGAAGGGCTCCAGACAGTGACCAGCCAGGAGAGAAGCCTTCCAAATGCCACTCAAGCTGTGCCCCAGAGTCAGCGTGGCACCTACTCCTCCAGCCAAGTCTGGTTCAGCCTGTAGCATGCTGTGAGTGCTAGAACCACAGAACCAAGCAACTTTGATTTTCATATTTGGCTTTGGTTCTTCACTAAAAATCAAGAAAAACTGTGTTGGGCAGGGATTTTAAATTCAAATGCCTCCCTGGGCCAAGCAGGAAAATGCATGAAGTCATCCAAGGGGAATACAATGGGCAGGAAGGGTACTGGTTTCTATGTCCTTCAAAGGTGGCTACAACATCTGGGAGGGACCTTGTGGCTGCTAACAAGAAAGAGAGGCTGAGGGTAGTGGATCTACAGGCTTATTTTTCATAAGAAGACAGTAATATGCCTTTAAAGAAGCTAGTAGATGTGTCTGTGTTTCAAAGGGGAGAAAAAAGGGAAGACAGTGTGAGGGCTGAGCTTGGGTTGATTCCCACTCAAAGCCCAGAGTGTCAGTGGAGGCCAGGAGACCAGAACCAAGCATCCCAAGTCCAGAGCCACCTCTCTGGACTTCTGCTTTCTTTTCTGTAAAGTGAAGATGTCGGATGGAGTGATGGCCACAGCGTGCTCTAATACTGACTCTGTGTCTCCACTTGACACCAGGGACAGAGGTGAAGGAGAAAAAGGCCAGACATGCTGCCTGAGGGTACCCCTTGTCCCCCCATCCCCACTGTTCCCTGCAGTTGGCAGTCTGGGTCAGTCCTTTCCCTTCCCAGGCTCACGTCTCTACCTGTACAATGTGTGTGCATGTGTGTGTGTGTGGGGGAGTGTTGGCTTGAGCATTCTTGCTTGCTAGTGTGAAACAGTTCAAGGGGGAAGAAAACCATCAAATTTATGATCTGCGAACAGATCTCTGATGGCTAACAAGTTGGCCCAAATATAATCAGGAGAGGAGCCTCCGTGGCTGTAGGAAGTCCCCGTTTTCAAAGATGTTTTTACAAAAATAATAACGATGATATTTTCCATGGTTCCTAGCACAAGTCATAGAGAAAGCTCCCAAAATAATACTCTGCAGACTGTGAGCATGCATGTGCATGTGCATGTGTGTGTGTGTGTGTGTGTGTGTGTGTTGAGCGCACACCCCAAAGAATGTAATTACCCACCCTGGAGTTCTGCCAAGTTCAGCAGCATTTTCTTTCTTTCTTCTTGTCCTCCTTCTCCGTTCAGTCTTCCCTCCCCTTCTCACACAAATGACAGCATTTTCATAAGCCCTTGGCATTACTAGGTAATCAGGGAGCGAGAGCTCTGGAGTACACCCTGGGGCAGGATCCACGCCTGCAAAAAAGAAAAGTCCATTGGAGGGGAGGCTGCAGAGCAGCATTACTGCCGCCGGGAAAAGCCAGGGGCATTGACTAGTCCTCTAAATGTGGGCGGCCTGGGG